TTAAATAGCAAGCGTCTCTTATTTTCCATGACTTTCTTCTGCAAATGATTGATTATCCTCACCCAAACATTCCCATTTAAAATTCTAAACCAATCACTAAATAGCAAAGAAAGATTGATGAGTGATTGATGAGCTAGGAGAAAAAAGGTTGTGAGTGGAATATGTGTGGCGTTAGCCTCCACTATTACTACTGGTATTTCCCTATAGGGTGCAGATAAATTATTTTCAATTTGCTGTTGTACTTAACAGACTCATCAGATCTTTTCACTTTTAACCTAGCATCATTATAGATGCTCCCTTTACCAGGAAATACAATTCATGTCTAATAGTAATTTGGAGCTTTACTATCAACATTGAAATACAGAAAGTATTTCTTTGTCTTTTCTGTTTTTAGCCATTTGGGGTAAAAATGTATAGATTTATTGTTTTCTTTCCTTCTAAACCCTAGAGGAAAATGAAAAAATACAGTGATTTGTAACACCCTCTTGTGTAACTATCATTTAGATAAAAAAATAAAACGTCAAATTCCCAAAAGGTCCCCTTGTCTCCCCCCCCCACTCCCCAGTCAATACTTCTTCCAAATTAACCACTGTTATGTTGCTAATGCTGATTACTTCCTGGGTTTTCTTTATAGTCTTATCAACTAAGTGTGTAGTCTATTTAGTTTTGCCTGTTTTTGAATTTTTTTTTTAAAATCCTCACCCAAGGATATGTTTTTATTGATTTTTTTTTTTTTTTAGAGAGAGAGGAAAGGAGAGGGAGAGAGGAAAAAAACATTGATGTGAGAGAGAAACATTGATGGATTGCCTCCTGTAAGCACCTGGACTGGGAATTGAACCTGAAACCTTGGTATGTGCCCTGACTGGGATTTGAACCCATGACCTTTGGGTGCATGGGACAACACTCTAACCAACTGAGCTATACTGGCCTGGGCTGTTTTTGAATTTTAATGTGAATGAAATGCATATAATTCTTCACGTAACATGTGAGATTCATCCACGTTCTTGCATTTAGCAGCAATTCATTCACTTTTATTGTTGTATGGTATTGCATTGTATGAATATAGCACAGTTTGTGTGTTCTATGGTATATGGACATTGGTTTGCTTTTCCCCCCCCATTTTGGAGCTGTTATAAATGTTATGAACATTCTTATGCACATAAGCATGCATTTCTATAAAACACACCAAGGATAGAATTGCTAGGTCATAGAGAAGGCAGTCTTGAACTTTAATAGATAATGCCAAAATTTCCACATGGTTCTACCAATTGACATTTCTACCAGTGGTGTGTGAGAATTTCCATTGCTATATATCCTTAACAAAAAATTTTTCCAAGTCCAATAATTCTGGTAGGTGTGTAATGATATCTAATTGTGACTAACATTTTTTTTCTGCTAAGATAAATTTGGTAAGAAAGTATTTCTGAAATATTGACTAAGATGAAGCCTATGGTTTCCAATTTTCTGTGCTGTCCTTGTCTTTCAGTACCACAATCAAGAGTTGATACTTTTTAGAAAGAGTAATATAAAATTTTTTTAAATTTTATTTTTCAATTACAGTTTACATGCAATATTATTTTGTATTAGTTTCAAAAGGTATTTTACATTTTAATTGGATGCATGAAAGCAGTTAGTTTGAGATATTGTCCAATATTCTTTCTTTATACTTTTTATTGGCTTGTGTGAAAAACAGCTGTATTATTTCTAGTCATAATTACTGCTTTAAGCTGCCATTCCAGGAATTATAATAATTACTGAAATGAGAGGTATGCTCTGTGGTTTACAAAGTTGGATTTAATGAATAAATCTTTCCAGTTCCTCTGAGCCATTTTTTTTTTTGGTTAGATTAAAAAAAAAAGTACAATCATTGTAACTGATCTGGATGACATTGAGTGGCTGGTTTCTGTTGAGTGAAGTAAAACAGACTTTTAACAATTCGTGGGTAATATCTGAAAGGTAAAGTGACATGAGATAAATGTTTGTGTTTCATTCTGAAAATAACAAAAGGCATATGGAACCAAGATTTAACTTAATTGCCTAGTAATTTAATCCTGCTTTAAAAGTGCTTTGGCAAAAAGAAAATCGTACTGTGATTTCTTTTTGCACAATTAATACTAACAATAGAAAAATCATTAAGAAGATACAGATTTGAAAGTTGTAAATGCCAATTCAGTTTTATAAATAATTGATCTGTTTGTGCATTTAAAAAAATCATATGCACTAAAAAGAGAATAATTGAAAATTTTCTGGGTAAAATTGAGTTTTTAAAAATACCAATTTAGCCCTGGACTCTGTAGCTCAGTTGATTGAGCATCGTCCCAGGCAATAAGAGGTCGCTAGTTTGATTCCAGTCAGGGCACATGCCTGGTTTGCTGGCTCAATCCCCAGTAGGGGATGTGCAGGAAGCAGCCCATCAATGTTTCTTTCTCTCCCTCTCCTTTCCTCTCTCTTTCTAAAAAAATCAATAACAAACAATAACAAAATAAAAATACCAAATTTGATGAAAAATTTAAATTTCTAATAGAATATATATTCTTAAAAATAGAATGATTTAACCTCAGATTTTGTTCCATTATATAGTCATTTAGTAGTAGGATTTTAAGCTGACAAGTTAGATATTTTAAAAGGATTGATGTAAACTTCATTTGAAAACAATTATAATTTAAACTTAGAAGATAAATGGTTAAAATGTTAACTATGGTTTCACCAAATGTAGAGTAGTGTTAACATAAAAACATTCAAACCTGTAAAGAATTTGTGTGAGTTTACTTGAGTCAAACTATCAACAATTGCCAGGAAGCAGAATTCAACCGATTGGGATGATGCTCGGAGAATGGCTGTTTTCGCCTTGTTCTATACATTACAATCAAAGGAGGAGACATAGGTGGGTTACTTGAAATCCATGGTGACAGATTACAGAGGCAGGAGAAAGCAAAGTGCGGAAACCTCTGGGATTGGATAACTAGTAAAATGATAGACACATACTTCTTGCTTTTTTTTTTTTTTTTAAATATATTTTATTGATTTTTTACAGAGAGGAAGGGAGAGAGATAGAGAGTTAGAAACATTGATGAGAGAGAAACATTGATCAGCCGCCTCCTGCACACCTCCTACTGGGGATATGCCCGCAACCAAGGTACATGCCCTTGACCGGAATCGAACCTGGGACCTTTCGGTCCGCAGGCCGATGCTCTATCCACTGAGCCAAACCGGTTATGGCCATACTTCTTGCTTTTAGTTAAAGTTTAATTTCAGACCATCCTTTGTGGTTACTTTAGGTCTTTGAGTTTGCAAGACCACCATGCAGGCCTTCCCTGAGCTTGTCAGGTTAGCATGTGGCCCCTTTCATCCACAGTAGTAGAAAAATATGCTATATGCATGGTTATTTTTGATACTTAATAGGAATCAACCTTGTACCAATTAAGGTTTATTTGCTTTTTCAGATTGGTTTAGAGCTTGGAATATAAATTGGTTGCAAAACTTTTTAGTTTAAACTGAATTAATGGTTTGGATTTCTAAAAACTTTACACTTCCCGCGTAGAATCACAAAATGTCTGTGTTTTCTGGTAGTTGGGTAAAGGTAATGAATTTTATTTTAGGAAAAATAATGGAATACAAATTTGGATAAATGAAAGCCAAAGAGAGTTCTGGTTTCTTTTCAAAGATGATAAAGTTTCTGACAAAATTAACAGATTGAGAATAAAAATAAGAAAAATCTAAATATATTTTGTTGTTTTCTTTTTCATATTTGTGATAAATTTTGAAGCATATCATTTACTTGCTAGTCTTGTCACATCTGTAAGCAAGCACAATATTCTTTTAAAATTTAATGTTAACAGATTCCTGATGATAGTATGTGAAGATGTTGGCATCCACATTCCCAATGTTGTGTGTTGCTAATAGGTAGCCTGTCAAGACATTGACTATTTGCAAATGTATTTAAACTTTTTAGCCCTTTAAAATCATTGGAGCAGTTATATTTGACCCTCAGGTAAGCATAGTAAGTGTGAGTGACCTAGATCTATCTCATCATTTTTGCCTTTTAGTGTTTTCAAGTGGTCTTAAAGAGCAAGAGAACTCAGAGATATCTTTTCGGAATTGTTATAGTTAATCAGCTTATCACAACTGATAAGACAGGCAACATTTTATGTTAATAATTCTTTTAATTTGAATGAACCTACCAGTTCTAAATTGCTCTCTTTCAAACTGTCTTTGGTATATGCTGATTTTACCATGTAAATTATCCAACTCCAGTTATTATATACCAATTTACTATATACTCAAAAATTTTTAATCCACAATTAAGTTTAATCCCTTGTTAAAGCAAAAATGTCAACTTTATAGCACTTTGTTCTCTGCTTGGCAGTGTTTCAGAATCAGTTAAACAGTGAATCAACTTTGAGTCTTCTCAGATTATGTTCCATTGATTTGTATTGTTTTCCTTTTTAAACTTTTTAAAAAGTATTGGCCAAGTTTTCTTTTGTTTTGTTTTTTTATTGATTTCAGAGAAGGGAGAGGGGGAGAGATAGAAACATCAATGATGAGAGAGAATCATTGACCAGCTGCTTCACTACTGGGGACTGAGCCTGAAATCCAGGCATGTGCCCTGACAAGGAATCGAACCGTGACCTCCTAGTTCATGGGTTGACACTCAACCACTGAGCCACCGGCTGGGCTGTATTATTTTCCTTTTAGACCCCAATAATCTATCAAAAGAAAGACTGGGGTAAATAAAGAAAAAGAAATAAAATATGGTAGTGACAAGGAATATCAGGTTCTAAACCAGTGGTTCTCAACCTTCCTAATGCCGCGACTCTTTAATACAGTTCCTCATGTTGTGGTGACTCTCAACCATAAAATTATTTTTGTTGCTACTTCATAACTGTAATTTTGCTACTGTTATGAATCATAATGTAAATATCTGATATGCTATATGTGTTTTCCGATGGTTGCGACCCACAGGTTGATAATAAATAAACCTCTCATCTTTTACTTTTAAGATAAAGATACAGATATTACTGTGAGGGGGAATGTGGACGACTATGGCCTTCGAGACACCTTGAGCGTTGCTTCAACCGATTCCTTTGCTTCAGCAGCAGAGGTAGGTTATGTGTGTTCCTAATGAGGATTCGCATTCTTTGCCAGCTGGAGAGTACAGTTTTGCCATTGTGCTGTAATTTAGTTCAGTAGCCACTTATTTAGCACGTGGTAGATACCAGGATACAAAGATGAATATAGCATGAGTGAAAGTTCTCACAGGAGCTCATAATCTCTGCACAGAGGTGGACATGTAAACATATACTTTAAATAGGCACTTTTATATACTATGGATTATGGAAAGCAGTTGACCTTATATCAAGATTCTTAAAATAGTTCAGATCTTTAGCTCAGAAATCATACTTCTGAAGTGATTAGATGCAAAGATTTATATATAAAAACATTCACTTTGGCATTTTAATAATAATGAAAAACTGGAAATAGTTTAATGCTAAATTATGGTACATCCATAATTTTGAAATATTATATTGGCATAAACATGTCCCTAATCATTTTTAATGACATGGGAACATGTATTAAGTGAAAAGGATAGTATGTAGAGAGTATGATTGTGATTTTGAAATAGAAAAGAAAGAAAAATGTGTGTGTTATTTATTATTTAGGTAGAGAAAAAAAGACTAGATAAAAGTTCACTAATGTATAAATAATGATCACTGAATTATAAATTTATGGATAATTTGTTTTCTACTGAGATTTAAATTTTGTATCAAAAGAGAATGCTTACAAAGTGATCATCTTTTTATAATTTTTCTACTTAAAACAGGTTTAAAAATCACCAATAGCCAATTTTATCTTAGAATAATTTCATTTTTATGATAGATTTTGGATATTAATGCTGTTTTAAAAATAAAAATAGTATCACACATCTGTAATTGAATTCATGCTGTAGTGTGGAAATCTTTAGGTATTCTACCTAATATCCTGGGCCCTAAGCCTTGATTCTGCCTTTTTACAATCTCTTCTGACCATAATATTTCATCCTCTTAAGATTTTTCTGTGTATGTATATTGTCACTGCAGCTTACAGTATCATCTCTTGAATTATTTACATTTTTTTCTTATATTTTTTACGTGTAAGTTTCCAATAGACAGAATATACCTACTTGTTTTATGGAAAAGCTGTTTCCTTTTCCTTTGCTATCTGATATAGACAGGCTTATCTTTCTGTTCTTTTTTAAAATGTTTATTTCCAGCTTTATTGAGATATAATTGACATATAACATTGGGTAAGTTTAAAGTGTACAGTGTGATGATTTAATACACATGTATTATGAAGTAATTACCACAATGAGGTTGGTTACCACCTTCATCACCTCACATAATTACCTTTTTGTGTGTGTGTGTGGTGAGAACATTTAAGATCTATCTACTCTCTTAGCAACTTTTAAATATATAATACAGTTTTATTAGTTACTAGAGGCCCGGTGCACGAAATTTGTGCACAGGTAGGATCCCTAGGCCTGGCTGGTGATCAGGGCCAATCTGTGGGGCGACCAGCAGGGCGATCAGGGGGCCCCCACTGGCACCCACCTTGGCTGGCCTGGTGCTGCCCGCTCGCTGGCCCTGCCCCCCACCACCGGTTGCCTCCCTCTGCGGGGCAACCGGCAGGGCAATGGGGGGCCCCTGCTTGTACCTGCCTTGGCTGGCCTGGTGCCTCCAGCTGGAGGCAGCTCCTGTGTTGAGCATCTGACCCCTGGTGGTCAGTGCGCGTCATAGCGACCGGTCGTTCCATTGTTTGGTTGATTTGCATATTAGGCTTTTATTATATAGGATAGTTGCCATTAGATTCCCAGAACTTATTTATCTTCTCACCAGAGGTTTACACCCTTTGACCGATATCTCCACATTTCCCCCACCCCTCAGTCCCTTGCAACCACCATTCTACTCTCTTTCTATGGGGCTGGCCTTTTTCTGTTGTTTGTTTGTTTTGTTTTTGGCCTTTTTTCATTTCACATGTGAGTGATGCCATACATTATTTGTCTTTCTTGTCTGATTTATTTCACTTAGCATAATGCCTTCAAGTTTCATCCATATTATTGCAAGTGGCAGGATTTTCTTCTTTCTCATGGATGAATATTTCATTGTACATATACTATATATTGCATCTTCTTTATCTATTCATCCATGATGGACACTTAAACTGTTTCCATATCTTGGTTATTTTTTAAAATGTTGCAATGTACATAGGATAGCAGTACAGATATCTTAATATAGTGATTTTATTTCCTTTGGATATATACCCAGAAATGGGACTGCTGGATCACACAGTAGTTCTATTTTTACTTTTTTGAACAACCTCCATATTGTTTTCATAGAAGCTATACTAATTTACAGTCCCGCCAACAGTGCAAGAGTTCCCTTTTCCTCAAATCTTCACCAACATTTGTTATCTCTTATCTTTTTTATAATGGCCATTCTGAGTAGTATCTCTTTGTGGTTTTGATTTACATCTCACTGATGATTAGTGATGCTGAGCAACCCTTCATGCACTTACTTGGCCATTTGTATCTTCTCTGGAAAAATGTTTATTCAGGTCCTCTGTCTTTTTTTTTTAAATCCTCATGGGAGCCCGGCTGGTGTGGCTCAATGGTTGAGCGTTGACCTATGAAGCAGGATGTCACGGTTCAATTCGTAGTCAGGGCACATGTTGGAGTTGTGGGTCAATCCCCAATGGGGGGTGTGCAGGAGGCAGCCGATTGATGATGCTCTCTCATCATTGATGTTTCTATCTCTTCCTCCCTCTCCCTTTTTCTCTGAAATCAATAAAAATATATTCTTAAAAAAAAATTCTCATGGGAGCATGTGTTTTTATGTATTTTAGAGAGAGAGGAAAGGGGAGAGAGAGAGAAATGTCAATGTGAGAGAAAAACATTGATCAGTTGCCTCTCGTTCACACCCCAACTGGGTATTGAACCGCAACCTAGGTATGTGCCTTGACCAGGAATTGAACCTGCAATCCGTTGGTGTACAGGACGATGCTCCAACCAATTGAGCCACCTGGCCAGGACCCTCTGTCCATTTTTCAAATTAGATTGAGTTTCTTTGTCTTTGCTATTCAGTTGTATGAGATCCTTATATATTAACCCCTTATCAGATAGATGGTTTGCAAATATTTTCCTTCATTTCGTAAGTTGCCTTCTCTTTTTGTTGTTTCTTTTGCTGTGCAGAAGCTTTTTACTTTGATACAGTCTCACTTGTTTATTTTTGCTTTTGTTACGTGTGCTTTTGTGGTCAGATCCAAACAATTATTGTCAAGGAGCTTTTTTTTTGCCAGTGTCAATGAGTTTTTTCCCTATGTTTCTTTTAGGAGTTTTTTGGTTTCAGGTCTTATGTTTAGTCTTTACTCCATTTTGAGTTAATATTTGTTGAGTGATGTAAGATAGGGATTCATTTTAATTCTTCTACATGTGGTTCTCCAATTCTGCCACCATAGCGAAGAGGTTATTCTTTCCCTATTAGTATTCTGGCTCCCTTGTCTGATATTGATCGACTTTTATTACAAGGGTTTATTTCTGGGGCTCTCGAGTCTGTTCCATTGGTCTCTGTGTCTATTTTTATGCCAGTAGACTACTGTATGGTTACTGTAGCTTTGTAATACAGTTTGAAATCAGGAAGTGTGATGTCTCAAGTTTTGTTTTGATTGTTTTGCCTCTTTGGGGGCTTCTGTGGCTCCATATAAATTTAGGATTGTTTTTTTTCTGTTTCTGTGAAAAAATGCCATTGGAATTTTGATAGGGATTACAATGAATTTATAGATGGCTTTAGGTAATATGGATATTTTGACAATATTAATTATTCTGATCCATGAATATGTGATATCCTTCCATTTATTTGTCTTTTTCAGTTTCTTCATCTTAACAGTTTTCAGTGTACAGATTTTTCACCTCCTTACTTATATTTATTACTAAGTATTTTTTGGAAGCTATTATCAATGGGATTGTTTTCTTAATTTCTCTTTCTGATTATTGTTAGTGTGTAAAAATACAACTGATTTTTGTATATTGATTTTGTATCCTGCAACTTTACTGAATTTATTTATTAGTTCTAATGGTTTTGGTGGAATCTTTAGGATTTTCTTTGTATAAGATCATATCATGTGCTGAGAATTTTACTTCTTTCTTTTGAATTTGAATGCTTTTTTGTTTTTCTTACCTAATACCTCTGGCTAAGACTCCCATTACTGTGAATAGGAGCAGTGAAAGTGAGCACCCTGGTCTTGTTCCTGTTGTTAGAAGAAAAGCTTTCAACCTTTCACCACTGTGTATGTTAGCTGTGGGCTAGTCATATATGGCTTTTATCGTATTGAGGTACATTCCTTCGATGCCTAAAATGTTAAGAGTTTTTATCATAAAAGGATGTATTTTGTCAAATGCTTTTTATCTTTATGTTCTGTAGAGGCTTAACTCCTTGATGGTTTATAGGGAGAATAATTGCATTTTTTCCCCCTAGGAAGAACAATATACCTAATTGCTCTAAAGTTTCTTTATAATGTACAACTTAAAAAAATATTTGACAAGTGTTCATTGTACTTTGAATTTATTGTAAGTCACAAAAGGTTTGATACATATTTTTAAAAACCCTTAAGGAAAACAAAATGCATGAATACCACAAGAAGGACTTGATGTCTGAGAAACATCCAAGGAATGCTTCTAGGGTATAAATATATGATCTCAGAATGTGATCCAAGATAAATTCTTTACTAAGAAATGTTTGTCAAATTATTTTTAATTGCATTTACTATATGCCAAGCCCTTAAATTAGGAAAAACTATTTTAATGAAGAAAGTTAGTAAGAAAATAATATCAGAACTGCTTGGGAAGTTAAAGTTTGTGATCATTTGGAAGCTTTATTCAGAATTACCAGAAAGAATTCTTGCCTCTTTAGATTAAAATAAGTCCTGGCATAGGCTTTTCTCTAAGCCTGGTCAGTCATTCGTGAAAGTGATTAACAGGATTTTCCTATATAAGCTTTGCCAAACATTGGTTTGGAACTACAGCCTTTTTTCTCTGAAAAGTCTATTTTTAAAATAATAGTTTTATTGAGA